GGACACCCGTGGAATCCTCCTCTAAGTATGAGAAAGAGTATAGAAAAACGGTTAGGCCCTATGAAAGCTGCTGAATTTTTCCTCGGCTGTTGGTCCCCAAAAACAGTGAAGGTTCATGTTCACTATTTTCAGGTGATTGAAACTCCAGTTCGGGGGGGGGGGCACTCCATTTTTTCTCCAATACTCAAGATAAGGATTAGAGGGCTCACGACACGTAATCGACTCATTTAAAGTAGACTTCTGATAAATATTGGTGTAATGGGTGAGAAACCCTGAAAACGTTTTCACATTTCCGCCTGCCATGACCCAAGGGAACGGTCCTGGACCAGGAGAAAGGACACCTCCGCAAAGGGCTAAGGGTGCAGGAGCTCCAGGGTGGATCACCTGTGCAGAAAAGTGGATGGGATGTGGGCAGGTAGTGTGGAATGTAGGACATCCACCGGTCCTTATCAAAAGTACGCTCGAAATGAGTCGTTCACTTATTATCTTATCCGTAGTGTTCGATAGCCCAAAGAACTGCTCTCTAGTACTACGGATAAGATAGCAATGGAGTGCCTCCCCCCCACACCCGAACTGGAGTCACCTTTTTAAAAACTCCAAAAAATCCACAGCACATGCCGAAATTGGTGCAGACAACTGATGCTGCTGCACGGTCTCGGGATCGAATCTTGAACCATATTCCCTTGAGCCAATTAGCTTTCCACCTTCCCTTTCCCAGCTTCGTCATCTACATATTCGGTGAAAAAATGTGGAATGAAAAACGTGACTTTTAACATGAAAGCCCTTCACTCCACTTCGGGTACGATGAGATAAACTACGACCTAGCGGGGTTGCTGCTTGAGTATCCGAGACGCACTTGCGTTTTATGTCATAGGTGCAACGTGAAATTTCAAACACTTGTTTTCCGTCCTGGTTGGCGCTTTAAGCAAAAAGGCAGGGGATTTGAAAATTGTGGTGAGGAATACGCAAATTTGGCCGGAAGTAGGGAAGGAAGGGACCGCAGGGGGAAAAAAAAGGGTGTCCCCCAAGAGGCCCACCGCGCGGCGAAGGAAGAGACGCAGACGCGGCAAAGGACGAGTCGCAGCGCATACTGTAGCGGTTAGGCGTCAGGTTAAATAGAGTGTACCATACTACGTCTCATATCGCACAGCACGCGCTGCGACTCGTCTTGCTTCGCCGCGCGGTGGGCCTCTTGGGGGACACCCGGATTCCACGATAAGTGCGAAGTTCGAAGAACGTGAAGCTCACCTAGTGGAGAGACAGGTGGACCTCTTACGGGTGCGGACTGACTGATATGTCCATGGCAATCTAGCATGGCCCTGTCTTTGGCGCAGTTGGCGCACTATCGGCGCGGTACGCTCCCTTTCGCTGTCTGAGCCTCTGCCTTAGCAGAGAGAGCGTTAGCGTTGAAGAGGGCAGCACCGATGAGAGTCGCATCAATGCGGAAATCAACGGGCAAGGAAGGGGTCCCATTTCTCGGGTTCTGGGCCGTTTCTCATGGTTTTCCTTCTTTCGTGTACCACTCACCATCCCTAGGTTAATTTGAAATGGGTTGCTTTTTCATCGTGAATTCGTCCTTTATGTACTTTTCTTAGGCGACACACGAAAGTGCTAACTAATGCTGGAGATTTTGAAAAAACCGGGTCAATTGTATGATAAGTGGGCCAGGTCTCGAGAAGTACAAAACATACATCAGCTAAGCGGAGCCCCGCCCACAGTGGGCGTGATCGAAATGAGCTGTACTGACGACCAAGATTTCAAATTCAGTCACAAAACAGCCTCGAAACTGGGAAAAGTGGGTAAAGGTGTGCATTGGTAAGTCACATCGAATTAGGGAGACCCACCCCCGGTGGGCGGGGCGTTCTCCAAAAAAGCAGTGCTTTATGAAAAATTCATAACTCGGTTGGGAGAAAGCCTACAGAGCAGAAAAAAATTGGTGTAGGGGAGCAATGTCTAAGGTGTTCCAGCATACATGACGTGGGCGGAGGGCCCGCCACAATGGGAAGCAAAGCGCCGCATTACCTACCGTCCAATTAATTCGGTTCCGAGGAGAGTGGAAAAAAGGCGGATAGAGGTCACATAAGGAGGGGAGGCCAGATGCAAATGGTGGGCAGCACAGAGTGGGCGGCGGCGAACCTATAGCTCGGTTTCAAGACAGCCGGAGACGGGGTGAAGAATGTGGGTAGGAGTGGAGGTGGTATAAGATGAAGCTCTGTCTCGGATGGGCGAGGCATGCACTGGAATTGGGAACGCAGTTTCGAGCGATATAAATAAGTAGTTCAGAGAAGTTAAGAGCCGGGGAAAGTGGGAAGAGTTTTGGCGAGGAGACCCCAACGGTTTGTGGAGATAGCACGAATAGCGAAGTTTACCGCGGATTATAGTTCGGTGTGGAGCAGTCGGAGAAGGCTAAGCGGGTGGTTGAATGAAAGAGAGGGTCAAAGCTTGTTTTTGGAGTGCTAGAGCTGTCAGGCAGCAAATATTCCGCGTTATCAAGCCAATTTGAAATTCCCGCATGGGGTATGCTATCGCCGCGAACTCGCGTTTGTGTGCGCCCAACGCTGCGGCCCAGTTGGGTGAGATATGGCGTGAGCATGATATTTGTTTTAGGGGCGCAGGCATTTATCCTATTTCGATGATAGTAGTGGTATGGTTTTTCTTGAACTGAATTAGGCCATTACATTGATTGCTGTGGACCACCGACATGTCCAGCTGGGTTTTTTGTTCCAGACGTTCCCTATCCGGGGTGGCCAAGTTGGCTTTGCGGCGATTGGATTTACTCTGCGAACGGTGCCAGGTAGCAGCCAATTGCTATACCCTTCCCATGATATGAGTGTTAGACTCAATTGGAAATATCTTGGTAAACGGAGAAGAGAGGGTCCAGCAACGATCATGCGGATGCAGAGATTTTTGCCAGAGGTATGTTCTGTAAGTTCAAGCCAGAATTCATTGAGGTTTTTGCTTTGATTCCATTACATGATAGTATTCTCAATCTTTACCCATAAATATCGAAAATTGCAGAAACATTCATAGATAGTCCGCGTCTCTGGAGTATCAATGAGGAAAATGTGCACTTCAGATGAACCGCTTCATCACGACGCTGACTTCTGCTTACGACATCTCCCAGCAAAACGTCCGCGTAGGGATAATCGCTGTCGGAAGTGACGAAAAAGGCGCGGCGACGGTTGCAAACTTCAAAGCTATCGACTCATATGGTGCTTTGGTTTACTATATAAACTTTGTCAAAGAAGAATATGCGGATTTCAAACATGACGGCCAAGCGCTTGAGGAGTGAGTTTACTTTTTTTCTAAAGGCCAGCACTTTCAAAATGAAAACAAATTAAAAAGTGTCCCGTTTTTCACTTTCATTAGGCTTTCCGAGCTGTTTTCTTGAACATGTGATTTCCCAAAAACGGCTAGTCACGACCTTCTTCAAAGCCCTTTCTAGAAATCTTAGGGGGTATGAGTTCATAAAATTTTCGAAAACAATCTACCATGTCAATGTTGATCGGTCGCTATAGAATGCGATCAATCTACTATGCATATCTTTCTACGATGCAGCTTGATCTACTGATTCCAGAGCATTTTCAATTGCTGCGCTCAGGGAATTCAAGGATTCCGGTTATCGAACCAATCTCAAGAATCACGTCATCGTTTACGTCACAGCTACTACGAAGTAAGTCTTATGTGAACCTTACTCTTTGCATATTTAGTGGATCGATGCTCTGTTGAAATCCTTTTCCCATGCACCATGTGAAATGAACCACTCAAAGACAGGACCTTGTGTGTCGATAAGTCTGTTGGTGGCAAACCTCAGTTATAAGTACACAGTAAACATAATACGTTAGTCTGACAGGCAACTTCTGGTCATTTGAAGGCGGAGTTTATAGAAACTTAAAGTAGAGGTGGCTAGTGATACAGGGGACAAGAAAAAATCAAGAAAAAGAACTTAGAACCCGAGGAATAGGAACCCCAAGCCGTCTGGTTTGCATAGGCTGTCTTCCTCGGTGCTGACCTTCATCAACGCTAACGCTTTTTTCTGCTCGGCGGCTAGATTCAGACGGCGAGAGGAATGGGCGGGCAGCGGCAATGGTTGCACGGGGATGGCCTCACTAGACCGCCAGGGGCATTTCCTTCGCTGCGAAGTGAATATTGCTCCGCCCCTGAGGGTATCCGCCCATCCTTCCACAGGATAGGTTTCCCCTTCTTCGACCATCTTCCTTATCGTGAATGCACCTTCAAGAAAAAGGACAATAATTTTATCCCTAGAGAGACTA